TTTTTTTTTTTAAAGACTGTATCCTATTTCAGAGTTTTGTGTATATACCAGCGTTTATTCAAGCAATCTCTTACATTTGAACATTTTCATAGTTTCCAACATATTGAATTCTGAATAATGCAGCAGTGCATAACCTTGCCATATATATGTTTGTATTGATGGGAGATGTATCTTCAGGGTAAGTTCCTGCAAGTGGCATTAAGGATTGAAGATACTGCCTATTTCCCCTACAGAAGGATTATTTGAATTCCTGCCCACATTTTATGAGGAGGCCTATTTCCCAACAGCCTCATCAGTAGAGTGTGTTTTCAAGCCTTCAAAATTTTGCCATTTAGATGAGTGAGAAATGGAATCTTAGTTTAGTTTTAATTTCTTTTATGAGTGAGGTCAGCATCGTTTTATATATGTAAGGGCCATTTTCATATCTTTTCTTTGGTGAATTTTCTTTCAGGTCTCTTTTACCTATTCTATAGGTTTTTAAAAATAATTTTATTGAGGGGCACCTGGATGGCTCTGTTGGTTAAGTGTCCGACTCTCAGGTCATGATCTCATGGTTCGCGGGTTTGAACCCTGTGTTGGGCTCTGTGCTGACAGCTCAGAGTCTAGAGCTGCTTTGGATTCTGTGTCTCCCTCTCTCTGCCCCTCCCCAACTTGTGCTCTCTTTCTCTCTCAAAAATAAATAAACATTAAAAAAATAAATAATTTTCTAGACACATAATTTATATATACAAAGTTCACTCATTTAAAGTGCATAATTCACGGCTTCTGGGTGGCTCAGTCCCTTAAGCTTACGACTTTGGCTCAGGTCATGATCTTGCAGTTCATGAGTTCAAGACATACCTTGGACTCTGGGCTGACAGCTCAGAGCCTGGAGCCTGCTTTGGATTCTGTGTCTTCCTCTCCCTCTGCCCTGCCACCCCCCACCTCCCTGCTTGCAGTCTTTTTCTCTCTCTCTCTCAAAATTAAATAAACATTAAAAATTAAAAAATAAAGTGCATAATTCAGTAATTTTTAGCATATTTAGAGTTGTGCAACCATCACCATGAGGGAATTTTGGTGTTTGCTTCCCCCCTCCTTTCCTGCCAATTGTTGTAAGTTCTTTGTATTTTAGGGACATTAGTCCTTTATCTGTGATATCTGCTAGAAATATTTTCTGCCAGTTCTACTTTGTTTATAGCATTTTTTGCAAAAAAATTTTTTTTTAATTTTATGTAATCAAGTTTTTAAAAGTTTTAAGAAAAATTCATAATTAGAAAGCCTTTTAATTCTTACACTCAGGTTGTAGAAAAATTCACCTGCATACTGTATCATTTATTACATTTAGTCTTCTGCTCAATTTGGAACTTAATCTTTTGTATTCGGTGAGGTATGGACCTTTTCCCAAATGGCTATCTTGTCTCAATACCTGTTTATTTAAGTCTGTCTTTAACCCAAAGATTTGAGATACTGACTTTATTATATACTGAAGTTCTGTTGTAATATCTGGATTTTCTGTTTTGTTACATTGGCCTATTTTTGTACTAATGCAATACTATTTTAATTATAAAGGTGTTGTGTTATGTTTTAATATTTGGTAGGGTTACTTCTTCTTCAGAGCCTGTTCTTACTGTTTTCCTAGCTATTGTAGATATCTTTTTCTACAAATATTAACTCATTTTGTATTTTTATTGGTAGTGAGTCCGCTTCTTAGGAGCTGCAGACATTTTGATGGTGTTGAGACGTTTGGTTGTTGAGACATCTTAATCAAGAACAAGGGCTATCTTTCCATTTGTGTCTTTCATGAATGTTTAATAGATTTGTTCATATTTTGAACAGATCATAAGTTTATGCTTCAGTATTTTAATTTCTTTGTTGCCTTTGTAAATGGGATTTCCTCTTTTTTTTTTTTTTAAACCTCCCCCCACCACCCCCATGCTGGTGTCTGGGGTTTCCTTTTTATTATTATTATTATTTTTTTTAATATAATTTATTGACAAGTTAGCTTACATAAACACCCAGTGCTCATCCCAACAAGTGCCCTCCTCAGTGCCCATCACTCATTTTCCTCTTTTAAGCATCTGCTTT